TGCCTAGATTTCTTTTCCATTCTTTGGATCAAATAATCAAAATACTTGATGATGAATCCACAAACCAAAATGAACATACACATTGCAAAGTAAAAATAATTGCAGCCTCCATGACAAATTATATGACCCCAACAGGGTCAACAGACTAGTACTTGAGCTATGAGGATTGCAAGGGCCCATAAAGACAGCTACAACCATTGAACATCTACAATGGCAAGCCCAACAATATTAATAAAGTAGCTGCTTTCTGATTCCTTTCAATTATATACTAATACAAATTAAGAGATCTTAATATCAGCAATATTGATCAACCAGCACCTCTTGCACTATTCTGCTATACCTAATATGATATGCTTTATTGCTAAAGGATGTTCAGAGAAAACCCCATGTGGTAGTATAAGCACAATTAAATACTGTTAGCTCAATTTTCCAATCAAATGATAACTTATATAAATGTCTAATACTATAATAAATCAGAAACTAATGTAAATAAAGAATTTCAAGAATCATAACATGAAAATCTAGAACAAAGAATAGTCGACTTGTCTGATAATACAGAAATCAATGAATATGACCCAATGAAAAAAATAAGCAGTGGAGAATACAGAAACCAATGAATATAACCCAGTGAAAAAAAGATGGATTATGCAATGTAAGTACTCACAAGAACAAAATGTAAACCCTCATTGATTCAAGAAATACAAATTCAACATATCAAAAGACAAGATGTCACTAAGAGATAATGTGCAATAACCTCCCACTAAGAGAAGAGTTGCTAGAAACCATCGTAGATACAACTAGCTCGTTGAACTCATCAGATCAAGCACAAAACAAATTTTTCAAAATTACTAGTTACCAAATACAAACCCTCACAGAAAATGCAAATTTCTAAACACTTGTCGCAATTGCAAACCACAAAAGAGAAGCTTTTCAAGGAATTAAGGGTGTTTGAGAGTGTCGTAGTGGTTGCTTTTCATTTTAAAACGCATTAAAATATTTTTTTATTTTAAAAAAAAATTATTTTTGATGTCAGCACAATAAAATAATTTGAAAACATAAAAAAATATTAATTTGAAGTAAAGAAAAAAATAAAATAAAATTTAAATTTTTTCAAAAAATCTTTGAAACGCATTGCCGAACACCAACTAAGCAGCAAAAATATTTTATTTTAAGCAATCGCTCTATAATACTTGAGCTGCTGTTCAAGGAATTACATTGTAGAATTAGTTAACTCGCTACACTCCACATCAAACCATAAGAAATAAGGAATAAAGATATTTGGAGTCACACCCACACATTGTCAATTTTTAAGATTTCGGGGGAAATAAAAACTCAAGACAGACTCATGCAATGCCTCGTACACAATTGAAAATTCCAACTAACTCAAAATTTTCATTTTAAACCATCAAAGATGAAACCTTTTAGGCAATTAAACAACATCTCAGAAACAAAACTACCCAAAGAACAAAACAGAATCGATGAATTTCACATTCAACCACTGAAAGATTTAGTGTCACATTTTCACAACCAAAGTCCAAAAAACATCTCACAAACAGAGCCACCTGAAAACCAAAAACCATATAAATGAAAAATTGCACATCTTGTCCCTGTAAAATGTTAAACAAATACATGCAAGTATCATACAACATGCAAAACTTCAACTAATTGGAAAATTTGACATTTACACCTTCAAAGGCCATACCTTTCAAGCAAATACACGTCATTTCACAACCACGAACACCAAAAAAAACAGCTAACAAATTCAACAATTTACACCACTACAGACAAAACCCTTCCAGGAGTTAAACCACATTTTATGATTAAACAATTCGCAAACAAACCATAAAAGGGTTAAAAATCCTTTACCAAGAACATGTTGAGATTTCTTGGAAGAAGAGCCTGAAAAAGAGGAGGTAGTGGAAGAAGAACCAGCTTGTTGTTGTTCCTTCCTTTCTCTGGACGCAGCAACAGAAGCAGATGTAGCCGTTTTCTTGGCAGCCAAAGCCAGCTCAGGAGTCCCATACTTTCTGGGCCTCCCTCTCTTTCTCTTTGCTGATGTTGCCTCCACTGGTGCTCCTCCTCCTGTCACTGTAGCCGTGGTTGAGGGTCCCATTGAATGAGGGTAGAGCAAGTGGGACCCGGTAGGGGTGGTTGAGTCTGTGGGGTGATTAGGTGGCAGCAGGCCATTGGGGGGTGATGGGGTGTTGGTGGTGGTGGGAGTGGAGGAGAAGTAAGAGGTGAAGTGGTGTTGCTGCTGCTGGCGTGGTTCGTTGGGTTCCATTTTTTTTTCTTTTCTTTTTTTAGAGAGAGATTTTTTTAAAAAAAAAATTGATTTTGAAGGAATTGATTTTTTTTTTTTTGGATTCGAGAGTATTTTAGGGTTTTTATTTAAGGAGTGAGAGAAAAAGGAATTTTCAGATTTCTTGATATTTTTTGGGGGGAGAGAGAGTGATTTATAGCCGATGGATTACTTACTTGATTGGCTTGGATTTTATGATGATGCATATCTTTGTTTTCTTAGCATATCTAGATAAACCAATTATACTATATTAACTCTTTTAAATTAAAATATTAAAATATTATAAATTAATTGATTAAGATATTTATAATATTTAAGCAGTAATTATTAATATTTACTTGATAGTTAAATTATAAATATAAATAGAAGAAAAAAACTATATATAATTTCGTTGAAAAAATAAAAATATATGTACTTATTAAACAATTATTTCTTTAATTTTCAATATTTATTTAACATGAGAGATATAGACATTTATAATAAAAAAATTCATATACCGTTCCACTAAAAAAAATTTATCTATTTAAAAATTTTATATTTAATTTTCTCTTGTTTATTTAATTTTTTAATTAAATAAGGATAGTTATATTTAGTATTTTTAAACCTGATTCGGTGGTCAAATTAGTATAAAATCCAAGTTAACCTTATTTTTTTTATAAATTAAAATAATATTATTTTAATAAAAAAATTGGTCAATGAATTGCAATCTGATTTTTGATTGGGTTACCTAAATTTTTAACTGTTTTTATTTTTTAAAATTTGATTTGATTCTAGTCTCAAATCAGACAAGTTCTCAGTCAGCTTATCTAACTAGACCAAATTTCAAAACTATAGTTATAGTTTCTATACTATGAACTTTTCTTAGGAACATGTATTTAAAAATAAAAGTTAATTTTAATTAACATATAAATTAGTCTTAAAATATCAAATAAAACCTCATATAGTTTGTCACCAATAAAAAGACTAAGACTAAGGGAATAAATTTAGCAATTAAATTTGTAAAAATATTGAAAATTCACTATTAATTATTATTAAAAAAATTAAAAGAAAAGGATATTTTTAATGTAAAATACCTCACAAAACACTATTTATAATAATAATTCTATTATTATTATTTAAATTTTACCATTTAATATTTGATTTATTAAAAATAAATTTTATTTCTTGTTAGAGTTTATTTTTTGTATGTTTATTTAAGCCTTATTACTCATATCATGAATTTAATGGAATAATTTTATTTGCTTTATTTTTTTTAAAAAAAAATTATACTTTAACATCTTGGACATTAGTTAACTAGTAATTAGGTTTTCTTATTTATTTTAGTTTATTTTGTATGAAATTATTTCGATCTAATAATCCAGGTTACAAACTTTATAAGTTAATCTGGATAAACTCAAGTTATTTTATTGCATATTTTTTTAGACTTCAATTTTATTATTTAACAATGAGTTTATTAAAATTTGAGCTTCATGATTTATTCAATTTGCTTTTTATGAATTATCTTAGTCTCATGATCTGGATTGTTGGTTTGACAGGCTAACCCGAATTGATTTGGTTTATTTTTTTGTTCACTTTTTATTAAATTATTTCGATCTCATTACATGGGCTATGAGTTTGATAGGTTAATTCAGATTAACTTGTGTCGTTTTTTTTTTTTTTTTCAATTTCATTCTTTAACGTCAGGTTAATTCAGAATTGAGTTTCATAAGTTATTTTGATTTACTTTATATAATATTATTTTTATTTCATAACCCGGGTCAAGGATTTAGAGAGTTAATTAGGATTGATTTAGGTTTTTTTTCAAATCCCTTTTTTAATATATTATTTTTCAATTTTATCATGTAATATTGGATTGATCGATAATTAAATTTTATAATTTATTTTGATTTGTTTTATTTATAATTATTATGGTTTCATAATCCAGAACGTAAATTTAAAAGGTTAATCTTGATTGATTTAGATGAATCTAATATATTCTTGTATATATATTTTTTAAAAAATATTATTTTTAATTTTTTTTAAATCAAATTATAAGTTTATCTATTGTCCAAATTAATTTTAAATTAATGAAATCAACCTTTTCATATGAAATCAATTTATATTTATCTTAAAGTTTTTTTATATTAAAAAATATATTAGCTACACGTAAATATTTTGTTTTTTTAAATTACAAACCAACAATCTAATCAGGTCTACTCAACAAGCAAGTTATTCATTATTTCAATCTTTTTTTTTTAAAAAAGTGATTCATTACTCATTATTTTATTTTAATTTTTTGTTAATGGACGAAATAACTTGTTTTTCTCGCCGTTGGCATGAACGATGGTGCAAACCTTTCCAGGAGACCTGTGCTCAAAAGGAAAGAACATACCCTTCTTAAATAAGTTACTATTTGTGACACACAGCATAATGGGGTCTTAAGGATCACACAACAATCCCTGATAACATTATCCTAAGCATCATGGTGAACTTTTTACAACTTCTGAACACAACACTTCCATTCCTTGGCAGGAGACAGAAGCATAGCTCATCTTGCTCGCTGTTATGAGAATTCTCAGGGCTATACTTGGCCTAAAACTTGCAGTAAATACACTGGTTTTATTTTTCAGGAAAGGATCCACCAAAGTCGTACCATCCTCAACCTCATCCTTCCTCCAGGATTCCAGCTATAGGCAAAAACATTAGTGATGACACAGGTGAAAGTACTCAGGATCAGATTTCGTTTATATTGAAAGAGAATCAAGGAATGTTTTCACAAAAATTAACCAGTAATAGAGATACACACAAAAAAATCCTGCTATACACTACATTCCAAGAATACAACAAGTTAGGAACACAGAACAATGGTTTCTTATAATCACTTGATATTGTCCGAATATTAATGTTTATTTAGCATGGTGGTGCTCCATTTTTTCCTCAGGATATTCAAGGGTCGTCCTTCGGTGCCTCCCCATCTGTAGTGTCTGTAGCAGATGCAACATTATGTGAGTTCTTAAGTTCCTCCAACTGCAACGAACCATTAAAACAAAGAATAAGGGTCAGATGGGGAACATGTGACAATGGGAAAACATATTGAAAACATGCAGTTACTGCAATCAGACTTTCATCATGGTTTCTTGCCTGGTAAATACAGCTGGTTAAGATTTTATTAACATGATTACTTTCAATTAAGTATTCATTGGTCGCAATCAGAATGGATAAAAATGGACGGTGACAAACTTAAATTTTTAAGCAGACAAACCTAAATTAGTTGTATTTTCAGCTCATTCTCTTCACCTGGTCACCTGATTTCTGGTTTTAAATGGAGTAAATAATATGACTGGCACAGCAAATTGTCATGGAAGATTCATATGCATGTAGATGCATCTACTGCCACCTAGCTGTCTGAATTTGGCAATCATGTATCTCTGTCTACGTGGGCGTGTCTATCAAGTCCTACACATATGCATGCTCGAATTGGCGTTTTCCCATCATTTGAGAGTTTAGATTTCTCATCAGCCCTTGATAACTATGGATACACATTTTGAGAGAGATATTCCAAAGCCAGTGCCACACAGCTGAACAACAAACTGTTCTCTAGGAATGCTTCTATTTGAGAATCACAAAACCAGGATCAAATACAACAGCATTCAGCTGTTAGGTCCACAGTGTCCATGGTCTTTGAAGCATGTCAAACCTATCACTACGACTATTGGTCATGAGTCATGATTACTTAGCATTTAACTTAAAATCCACAAATTAGGGTTTACTAACTTCAAAAAGAAAAAAACTATAATTTCTCACATTTAAGATCAAAATGCATGAATATAGCATAAAAGCCTCACCTCTTTGCAAGTTTCTTGATGGGCTCCCAACAGATCACTATACTTATTTTGCAACTCTGACATTTCAGCTTGCAGCTTTTCATATTCAGACAAACTTGGGCCGCCTAATTTTTGTTGAATGAATCTATCAAAACAAATTAAAATTTCGTTATTTAAATAATTTACTGGATGCACTTTTACAAGAAAATAAATTGTATAAAAAATAAAATAAAATAAAAAAGAAAGAAAAAACATTGTTTTAGTGTGCAAGTCTATCTATTTATTAGAGTTTGTATATTTAACAAATACAGAGAAACCAAAACTTACTCAAGAGCAGAAGAAGGTTTGTCATTTTGCTCATACAATGCAACCAAGACTACAAACACACGCACAAAAAAATCATGAATAAGTAAGAAAATTCACTGTAAAAGTCAAAAACTAGGGAAGAAAAAAATGAAGAAGAAAGAAGAAACCTTTGGTGAGAGCATCAACAACTCCACTACTCTCAAGATATTTCCTGAAAGCTTCCTTCTTTGCTTCTTTTTCCTGTATACAAAAAGTGGGGAAATGAAAAAATGTACAAAAATTAAGATCTTGACATTGAAAAGACACCAAAAATCCAAGCTTCGCATAAAAAGAATGAAACCCATTTATATGAGAATGAAGATTTGTAGAGAGAGAGAGAGAGTGCTTACCTCTTTGTATCGCATCATGATCCGTTTGCTCTGATTTCTAGCTCTGCTTCTTTACTTTAGATGGGGATTTTGCATTCTTTAATCGTTTCTTATAAATTTTTTTGTAAGAAAGTAACAATAATGATGGTGCAGCCATCGGTGGGCCTTCCTGATGTAGACACTGTTCGCTTTTTTAATTTTTTAAGTTTTAAATTATTATTCTTTTAATTTTTTATTGTTTTTAAATATTTATTTTTAAATAAAAAGTATTATTTCAATATATTTTTAAATATAAATATTTTAAAAAATACTCTCAAAATAATATTATAAGTGTATTTGAGAATGTGATTATAATTATTTTTTAAAATATTTTTTATTTAAAAATATATTAAAATAATATTTTTTTATTTTTTAAAAATTAATTTTAATATTAGTGTATCAAAATAATCTAAAAATATAAAAAATATTGATTTAAAATAAAAAATAATTTTTTAAAATTTTTTAAAAATACTTTTCAAACGTAAAAACAAACAGTATTTATCTTTCAAACCCAAATCAACAAATTATTTTTTTAATTAGAGAGATACAAACTATAAGATATTATTTTTTGGATTTCATATTTTATTTTCAATTAATTTATTAATATTAAAATTAAAAAAAACATTTGAATGTATACATGTGAATAATGATTTCTTATATAATTTGGATATAAAAAAATAATAATTTTTTTTATAAAATATAAACTTTTACGGAAGATTTTTTAATTAAGTTATAACACAATATGTTGAGATTAAGCTAAAAATAATGTTTTAGTCAAGCTAATATTAAAAAAAAAAAACAATTCCTAGAATTAACCATGCTAGATTTGAACTAATTAATAAAAACTTATTCAGATTAACAAAATCTCATCAAATTAATTTTTTTATATTCAACCTAAAACCAATCTTGAATGAGATTTTAAACCTTGTGTTTTTTAAATTATGTTAGAGCTATTATATTGAAGTTGCTGGATTGAACAACTAGATAATATGAGAAATAATAAAGTTCAAAAAGAACATTTAGCTAGCGGAATGGAGTAGAAAATTAGTTGGCTAACAGTTAGAATTATGTGTTAAACAAGTAATTACAATTAGTTGCTATGAAGAAGTTAGTTAGGTAATGTAAAAAATTGGTCTAACTTGTCTTATATTATCTGTTAAACCCAATTAGCCATATATTATCTATTTTGGGTCTTACCACCCTTACAATTTTGTTCCTAGTGATGCGAGCCAACTTTTGAGTTTGACGCTCCAAAACACGCATGACAAGTCAGTAACTAACACTTTTAATAAGGTTAGTTATCGCTACTCGTCGATATGGGATATTACAATACACGTTCCTTAAAAAGTTCAACGACTTTATCAGCACAATCGGACAACTAGTGAAATTGGCTTTGATACCAAATGTAACAGCTTGACTTAACTTGTCATTTTTGTCTGTTTTGGGTCTTACCACCCTCGCGGTTTTGTTCTTAGTGACATGAGCTCATTTTTGAGCCTGACGTCCCAAAACACATATGACAAGTCAGCAACCATCACTCTTAATAACACTAGTTACCACTCCCTCACTCACCGATATGAGATATTACAGGTGATGATATAAATAAGAACTTTGTATTGAAGAAGCAATCAATAAATAATACAATAATTTTCTGTATTACAAACAAAATTCTTCTCTCTCTTGAACTCTCCTTTAATTCTCAATCTTTTTCTCTCATTATTAATAGTGATCTTAATAATTTAGTATTAAAGCCTTTTACAAAGTAATATTGAGCATAATGATGATAGAAAGCAACAAAATAAAGGTTTTGGAAGAACATGAAAGGTAAGTAGATTAGAGGATACAAGTTTTTCATCAAGAATTGCAAAAACAACTAGTGGAGAATAACAAATAATGGCAAGAACAAAATAAATGGAATGGATAGTTTAACACTCACATGGAGATTTTGATGGTTACAATTAAAACATTTATTGGAAGACATGATGCAACTAAAAAATACAAGAAGCAATTCTAGCTCTAAAAGGGTAATTTGAATGCATCAACACCGATGTCACTAGGAGGAGTAAAGAATCAACCAAAAAGGTCACAAGAATATATACAATAGAACTCTTTATAAGATTGAACGGACTACATTCCATGAGAAAAATCAAAAGGCTAGATTAGAAAATATAGGAAATTCTTTAAATTACATTCATTCCAATTCATGAAAAGGTAAAGATTGTTTCTTTTTACTTTGAAGGAGAGGCAAATGTACGATATGAAAGATTCTTATATAGTGACCATGATTTAACCAATAAGAAAGAATTTGTGAAGGTCATTTACATGTGATTTGGTAGTAAAGAAGATGTGGTAGAGGAATTCAACAAATTAACATAAGAAAAAAGTATGGAAGAGTATGCTGAGAGATTTGAGGAGCTCAAGTCCTTAATGAGCATCTTGAATTCCTTATTGCCAAAATCATATTATGTTTCAAGTTTTATTAGTGGCCTTAAGGATGATAACAGGCTAACATTGAAAATATTAAGGCTCACAACTATAATACATGCATTTGATCAAGCAAGGTGACATTAGAGCAATCTATGAATAAAGGAAAAGACTAGGCTAGTGTTATAGATGTTGAGAAAAATTTACATTAGAGCATTAATGTAATAAAAAAATATGAATATGATGAGTGGTGAGGAAAAAGAAAAAGAATTTTTAGAACTAGAAGAAGGAAAATGAGACATCAATGCAATAATGACAGAAAAATAGTAGGTAAAAGAATATGGATTGTCTCTAAATGCATTAGCTAATAATTATGCTCATAATACAATTAAAATTATAGGAAATTATCAAGATAAAAACCTTATAACTTTGATTGGTAGTGAGAGTACACATATATTTATTGATAAACAAATATTAAAAAGATTATAACCATAATTAAAAAAAACTATTGTATTGACAGTAATAGTAGCTAATGGGAGTATCATAAAGTGTAATGTATATAGCCCATGCTTTATTTGGATGATGCAAGGACACAAATTCTAAGCTAACTTAAAAATTTCAAAACTTCAAAGGTGTGAAATGATGTTACAAGTAAATTAATTAAGATTCTATTTATTTATCTTATTTGATTTCATTAAAATAAAGTTATCTTTTGAAAATGATAGGAGGATGATTGAGTTAAAGTGTATTATAGAGAAGAAGCTCAATTACAATTCATCTCTACTTTTAAGGTATAAAAAAATCTTAAAGAGGTCATATGTGGCTTAGTAGTGCAATTCTTCTCATTGAATGCTAATAAAAAAATAAGGCAGAAGATAATGAATGAAAAAGGTCAAGATATTATTAGAAGAATATACAACAGTCTTTGATGAGCCTAGATAATTGCCATATGAAAGAGTTTTAGATCATGAAATTCCCTTGATTCCAGGAACTAAACCAGTCAACATCAGACCATATAGAAGATCTTTTGTGTATAAGGATGAAAAAAATAGGTTAAAGAAAGAAATGCTAGAAAATAGAGTGATACAACCTAGTACTGATTCATTTGCCTCTCCAGTATTACTAGTTAAAAAGAAAGATAATAACTAGAGATTTTGTGTGAATTACATGCAATTGAATGAGCTGACAATTAAGAACAAATTTTCAATACCTCTTATTGATGACCTTACGAATGAGTTACATAGGTCATAATACTTTTTTAAATTGGATTTGACGACTGACTATCATAAGACTCAAATACAAGAAAGTGACATTGAGAAAACAACATTTCATACTTATCATGAGCATTATAAATTTCAAGTTGTGCCTTTTAACTTTACAAATTCCCCAACTACATTTTAGGCCCTAATAAATTATGTGTTAGAACATTTTCTTAGAAAATCTGTATTGGTTTTCTTTGGTGATATTATATTATATATAGCTGAAGCTTGAAACTACACATCAGTCACCTAAAAAATACCTTAGAAACACTTAAGAATAATCATTTATTTTCTAGGAAATCTAAGTGGTCTTTTTGTAAATCCCAAGTAGAATATTTGGGACATATCATGCCAGCTAAAAAGATAGCCACAATTCTAAAAAAGATTGCAGTAGTAAGAGATTGACCTCCCAAAAAACAATAAAGGAACTCAAAGGTTTCCTAGGATTATCAGGTTGCTATATGAAATTTATAAAAGGATTTAGTATCATAAGTAAATCATTAACTGAACTATTAAAAAATATAGTTTTAGTTGGAATGGTACTACTTTAAAGGCATTTGAAGACCTAGAAGTGTCCTTATATAAAGCTCGAGTTCTTGCATTGTCAAATTTCACTAAACCTTTTATAATGAAAATTAATGCTTATGTGACAGAATTAAGGGCGGTACTCAATCAAGAGGCCAGACCATTAGCCTACCTCAAGAAGGCTTTATGTGCTAAACACCTTGGATTACCTATATATAAGAATGAGTATTTGACAACTTTAATGGTTGTGAAGAGGTGGACACACTATTTTAAACAAGATCACTTTATTTTCAAGATTGATTATGAGAGCCTTAAATATTTGTTAGAATAAAAGATATATTCATCTATTCAAAGAAAAGGTTTAATTAAATTGTTGAGATTGAGGTACTAAATCCATTATAGAATAGGAAATGAAAATAAAATTGTAAATATATTGTCTAGAAGACTAGCATCTGTTGGAGACACAAATATAGACAGTCCTAAAGATTTAAATGCTATATTAGTAGTAGTGTCATCATAATATCAAAAAGTTTTTGACACTTACATCGAGGATCCTCATTTGCAATAAATTATAACTAGGAAGATGGTTAATATTCACATCTAGCTTAATAACAACTTAGTGGATGGTTTACTAAATTATAAGGATATAATTATTATTGGAGCTACAGGTGACTTCAAGAAGAAATTGATAAGTGTAGTTCATGATTCTCATATAAGAGGCCATGTTAGTATTCAGAATTCTTATATAAGGTTAAATACTTTATTATATTGGCCTTTCATAAAAAAGATGGTGAAACAAACAGTGAATGGATGTGATACATGCAAACAAGCCAAGTTAGAAAGGATTATCTATCCTGGATTATTACAACCATTGTCAGTTTCAAAT